CCTGGAGACTGACAATCTACCTCTCCCCGCAAGGACCCCAGAAGGGGCAATGGCAAAAAATGTACATTTAGACCCAAGTCCAGGTTGCGAAGTCAGTGACTCTGGGAGAAAATCGCACATAGACAAGGTTACCTCTGAAGAGTACTTGGATGGTCAGCGCATGTGGTTCTGTGTGCACAGCCCTGTATATGGATGTGCACACATGATTGTATAATATATACAGTAGCATACAGTGCAGATGTCCTAGAGGCACCCTACTGAGACATTACATTCAAGTGTCTGGCTGCACGGGAATTTAAATCAGGTGCAGCCATCTGTGACTTTGAGGTGGAAGCCACACAATAATGATGGCAGAGCAAGGTAGAAGAGGCCTGGGGAGTATATAGCCACTTTTGGCCTTCTTATTTATTTATTTACAAGGAAAGAAAAATCTACCTTTTTTTAAACTTCTAACACCAGAATCAGCAAAGTACAGCTCATAGGCCAAATTTGGCTCACCACCTGTTTTTATAAATAAAATTTTATGGAAACACAGCTGCACTCATTTGTTTAGGTGTTGTCTATGGCTGCTCTTGTGCTGCAATGGCAGAGCCAACTAGTTGTGACAGAGACAACAGGGCCCCAAAAGCCTAAAACGTTTATTATCTGGCCCTTTACAAGGAAAGGTTGCCACTTGCAGCTCTAACATTTTGGGTTTTCTTGTCATGTAAGCGAATCAGATCTTAGTTGGTCTAGCATTTTCCAATACCTAACATTTTATTATATTTATGACATAAAATATGTATTTATGTATAGTATCATATTAATATTTTCTGCTTCCCTGACTAGACTCTCTAAACTGGCAGCTTCTTGAGGTCAGAGGCTGATTTGTTGTCTGCAGCACCTAGAAGAATGCCTGGTACATCACAGCCTCTTGAAAAAAATTTATTGGATGAATTAATTCAGGCAATCGATTCTTCCTTCCTCTATTGGTCATGTATTTCTGGAGTGCCTACTCAGTGCCACGCCCCATATCAGCCTCTTGGTTTTCCACTGTGATGGAGATGCAGCCCTGGTCTCAGGATGGAAAGTCATAATTAAAGAATGGGAGGAGAGGAATCTGGTATTTTCATAAACATTATCTCATTTCATCCTCACAGAAACCTTGTGAGGTAGGTATTATTCTTATCATACAGATGAGGGAACAGACGAGGGAACAGAGACTTAAAGAGCCCACTTCCAAGAGTTTCCCCAGCTAGAAGATGGTGCAGGTACAGCAGATTTGTCCTGAGCCCTCCCCTGTTGGCAGAGATACCTTGCACTGCCGCTTCCTTTCTCGGTACCGTTTGCCAACATCCTCCATCTCCTCCAGGGTCATGGGCCTTGCCTCCATCTGGGTGTCAACCATGGGCACAGTCAGCAGGTCCATCTTGGGAGGCTGTGGGGCTAAATCCACTTTCTGCTTCTTGGATGGATGCTGTGGGGTAATTCTGTGCTTGGCTAGGGTTAGAGGGAAGAAACAAAGGAGGAACTGAGAAGGTACCCAGTCATAGAATCTGTCAAGCAATTAACCAAGTCACTAAGCAGGTGCTGAGCCACCCCTCTGCTCACTTCTCACATGTCCGGTCAGTGCCATCTGAGGTACACCTGGAAGGTGCCTCTTTCCATTTCCACCTCCATTATGGCCTCCCTAGTGCAGGCCACCTCCGCCCTCATCTGCACCACAGCCCCAGCCTTCCTGTTGCCATTCTCATCCTCTATCATCCTGTTTCCACCAAAGAGCAAATAGGACCCTTAAAATGTATAAGCCAGATCACCTCATTCCCCTGCTTAGATCTCTCTTCTGACTTCCCACAGCACTTAAGACTAAAACCTAGAATCTATTCTCTAGTCTGCAAGGCCTGCAGGATCTGGCCTCAGCTGACCATCCACCTGACCCATCTCCTACTTCTCACCCCTCACTCACTCCACCTAGCCACCCTAACTTCTTTCTGTCCCCTAAAGACGTTCCTACCTTGGAGCCTTTGCCTTTGCAGTTCCATCTGCTAGGATACCCTTCCCTAGACTGGCTCCATATTACCACTCATGTGTCAGCTCCAATGCTGCTTTTCAGAGAGGCCTTCCCTAACCACCACCCCCTCACTCTGTCCTATTGTCTTCAAAGCTTTAATCACTACTGGACATCTTCTTGGTTAACACTTTCTGTGGCAACTCATTGGAGGCAGGGGTGTTGACTTCTTTACTGCTATGTTCCCAGTTTCCAGAAGTGCCCAGCACATCATAGGTGTTCAATAAAGATCCAAATGAATGAGAGCATCCCATCGCTCCTGCCCTGGTTCAGGCCTCCATTGTCCTTGGCTGAAATGAAATTCAAGCCCTGCCACCTTCTGGTTTTGAGATAGTGAACAAGTGTTCATCCCCTCTGAGCTTCAGCTTCCTCCTTGAAAAGCATAACAGCCCTGATGTCCAGAGACTCGAAGGATAAACTGAGCTAATATTGCAGGTAAACCTACCCAGCCCACAGAGGGCACCCCCAAATGCTAAGACCTTCTCTCTTATGAGTTGGCTGCCCAGACTCATGACACTGCTGCCCCTTTGGGCAAAGCAAGAGACTCCCAAGTTCGCTTACCCTACCCACTGTGGCTCTCCAGGGAAAAAGAATGCAGTGATGACACTGAGATAGCACCATTCATACAAATACCAGCTGCTTGGCTTCAAGTCTATTTATTGGGAAATAACAGACCCCAAATACCTTTGTTGCAAATATGCACCAAGGTACGCCGTGGTCATTCATTAAATGACTTGCAGCCAACTATATGGATAACAATGAACTTTGGTAATTTATAATGAAAAGGCCAAAACAGCATGAGTTGGAAATCATGCCCAACTCAAGGCAACCCTGAGGATATGCTCGACAGTGAGGGGTCGGGGAGATTACTACTGAGGGGGTTGTGACACACAGGAGGTGATTGTGGGGGAGCTCAGGTTCCCTGGGACTCTGCAAGGGTGGAAACTGCCTGAGAGTGAGGCTCACTGGCTTGCTGAGACTAGAGGTCAGAAATCTGCCTGCTGCGCTGTGAGTCAAGTTCCAGGGCCTTGGGAGACTGAGGAATGGATGCTTGAAGGATGTTGCCCACTGCCTCTAAAAGAACCAACCAGTGAGGATGCTGAGCACCCAGCTCAGTGTAACCAGGAACTCCAGAGGCCCTGCCCCCAATTTCTATCTG